ACACACACACACACACACACAGAGAGAGAGAGAGAAAGTGAGAAAGGAAGTCATCAGGTCCAGGACTTGAACCATGGTCACTATGTGGGAGTGTCCAGAGCCTTAACCACCATGCCACCTGCTGGTCTCCTAGAATTGAGATATATCTTGGGCAACAAAATAGTCACTGTTCCTGTTTGCAGGGAATTTATAATCTAGTGAGAAAGACATTAAATGAATAATGGCAATTTATCAGAATTAAATAAGCAAAACATATTTGGAACAGAAATTTTGCTTCTAAGAATGTATCTCACTCACAAACTTGGACCAGAAATATATACAAGGAAATAAATTGCAACATTGTTTGTAATAGAAAAAGACTAGCCAACTAAATTATGGAATATCCAAAAATAAACAGGAATACTTACATACGTCAAAATGGAATAATCTCTAAGTTACATTATGTAGAGGAATGATCACAAAGTTTTATTATAAAAAAGAACACAAGGGGACCAGCAGATGGTGTGGTAGTTAAAGCCCTGGACACTCCCACATGGCCAACTGTGGTTCGAGTCTCAGACCTGGTGGTTTGCCTTCTCACATTCTCTCTCTCTCTCTAGCTCTCTCTCTGGTCAAATTAAAAATAAATAAATGAATAAATAGTTAAGTAAATAATTCTAAAAAAAAGAACACAAAACTTCAAAAAAATGTGTACTATGCTCATATTTATTTATTAATTTTTAATTAAATTAAAAAATTTTATTTTATTTATTCATTTGTTTTTAATTTAACTAGAGAGAGAGAGAGAGGCAAAGTGAGAAAGCAAGCCACCAGGTCTGGGACTCAAACCATGGTTGGTCATGTCGGAGTGTCCAGTGCCTTAACCACCACACCACCTGCTGCTCCATATGTATTTTTAAACAAGTGACCTATAGACCCACAAATACATGTCTGAATAGTCTATTTCAGAAATGGTACCCAAAAAACAATCAATATTAGTTGTCCTTACAGAGAGCTGGGGTTTGAATGCCAAGAGACCCACTTTCTCTTTTTTGGAGGTACAATTCACATACCATAAAATTTACCCCTTTACGGCCAGCAGGTGGCGTGGTGGTTAAGGCACTGGACTCCCACATGGTCAATCATGATTTGAATCCTGAACCTAGAGGCTTACTTTCTCATTTACCCCCTTTCTCTCTGGTCAAATTAAAAATAATTATAGTAATAATAAATAAAGTTGAATGGATGATTCTTTAAAAAAAAAATTACCCCTTTAAAATGTCCAATTTAGTGAATTTAGTATGTTTGTGAATTTGTGTAATCATTCCCACTAATTCCAGAATATCTAAAAAAAATTTCATTCATGTTATATAATTGTAGACCATTTTTATCTCACCTCAAACACCTTTCCCATTAGCAGTGACTCCCCGTTCTCTCCAATTTGTAACCCTTGGAAAACACTAAGTTACTCTTTG